CCTTTCAAAATAAAAGACACATGAAAGAATGCCAGTTCCTTGAAAGTCAAATTTACTCATTATTTAAAACAGTTGCAGTGATCTCTAGTATGAGTGCCTTGGAGGCATTCTCTGGAGAAAAAGAGCTCTGGTGCACCTAAAGATGTAAAAGTCACGCGGAGGAGAAAGACATCTCTCCTCTGATTGGCTAACAGCAACAAAACTCTACCACTGACTGTTTGCTCTGCAACGTTGATGGTTTATCTCCACAAATAGCACACGCCTGAAGGAGTTCTGCTGTGTGGTGGAGTTGCTAATGCTAACAGTTAGCTTTTATAGCTGATACGTTCTCCGCTGTTTCCAGGACGCTAAACCAACAACAGCCTTCCCTGTGGTGAGCCAAGATGGGTGAGTACATGAATGTTAAGTGACAGAGTGACGTAGATGTGTCAGGCTAATGCAGGAGATAGGTGTAGGAGACTATTTTCATGTTCAGAATGCATGAAAAACTCAGAGTGACTGATTATTTTCTAAAATAACAAATAAAAAATGGGTTTTCAGTGAAAATGCCTTTTAACCGATAAAAACAAACAAAATGTAACAACAAAAAATAAATAAAAACCACACATATCTTCTTGGATGCCGTTCTCCTTGCTCTTTCTTGAACTGCTGAAATCTTGGGTGACCAGCTGTGTAAAAAGCTCCCGATGGGAAGGGAGCTGATGGGTAAAACGCATCTTTTACGTTACGCGCTGCTTAAAGGTTGGTTTATGCTTGACGCGTCCGCGAGGTCCGCACGGCTCCGTGCGGAAAAGTTGCGTCATTTTGCGTCATTTTAACAACCACGCCCCTCCATCGCGTCTCCGCACCGCCCAGAATTTCCGCAACGCGCACCTCGGAAAATTTCTAACCACGCGGACGGACGGGCGCAGAAAAACATGGCGGACCGGCAAGAACTAGTATGGCAGAGGTTCGTAAATGCAGACATTTGTATGATTCAGCTCTCAGAGATCACCGTGATCAACATGTTGTTAATAATTCTTGGAGAGAAATAGCTCGCACTGTCGGAAAAGACGAGAATGCTGTTAAAAATGCTGGAATGCCATGTTGTAAACAGTCATTTCTACTTCTACTATGGTGTAGTGTTGGATGCATGCCGTAGAGCTCCATGCTGCCCCCTACAGTTTGGGAGAATATTGGCTCACCGCAGAGACGAGCCACACAAACCATAAAAGCTGCGAGTTGTGAAGCGCGTTCCATCCGCGAGCCGCATCACCGCGCGGAAAGTGAATGCGTCAAGCATAAACCAAGCTTAAGCATCAAGAGGAAAGGCCGGGTAAGAGCAGGGAAAAGCCTCACGGAAAATCTGAAGGTTGACTGGACACCCCTCTCAGATGCTTTACTGCAGTCCAACTGGATCTCTGAGAGCCGTCAGCCCAATCGACTCTCGATCGAGTTAAATTAGGTCAGACACACCCAGAGCCAAATCATTTAGACTCAGTTATAATTTAGATCCCACACAAAGAAAAGTAAAGATATAAAGATGAACATTTTCAGGAACGTTTGTCTACTAAAGCAAAAAATAAAAATAAAAGACTTTACATGAAAGAGTTTTTGAGCTAGCAGACATTCAAGTCTGGCCTTTTTTCTCATCTTATGTAAATAAACGAATATTCAGGAGGTGTGAGCGCTAACTGATCCCTTTCTGAGCCCGCAGCTTGGCTTTTGATGTTGTCATTATAATTGGACGAGTCTGAGGGCGGAGAGAGAAACCTGCTCGGTTCCTAACTGATTGTCGTAAAAGTACGAAAGCACAGACTGAGATGAAACACGACTCAAAGGCTGCTCGTCTCTCACAGATGCAAGTCTTCCGTTTGATTCCTTCACTGTTCCTTTGTTTGTCCCATGAAAACAAAACAAAACACATTCCACCGGTGCACATAGATCTGCAGAAACAAACAGTAAGAGGTGGTGAGAAAAATCTGCTCCCAATAACCTGACGATTCACTTCCTGGTTGTTCTGATGTTGATCAAACTAGAACCTTCAATGCTGAGATCAGTGTTTGTGGTCCCTGGCAGAACCGCCCTGACTCACGAGCCACCAGCCTGACATATTTCTGGGTCTTTGTGTCAGAAAATGTGTTGACTCTAATCTCCTTTGGCATTCCTTCTGTTTTTTTCTGCTGTGTTATTTTTCCAACTGGAGTTTGTGGAAAAATTCCAAGATTTACTCGATGAAAACACCTCAGTGAAGCTTTTTCTCTAATCTCAACTAAATTATTTCTTTTCTAGTTGCCTGAGTTGTAAAAGCACTCAACGAGAAACTGGAAGTGTAATGCATCTGGAGAATCATGATTTAACCACACCGTTGTGGTGTTTGCAGGAGTTTGACACATGCATCAAATGATTTTTCCATTCATTTCAGCTGATCTTTGTTGATTTTATTTGTGTCTGTTATAGGGATGTTTGGTGTGATTGTATCGGCTGATATTGGCATTAACATGTAATATCAGACAGTATCAGTATTGGGGTTTACTCTGAATGACCTAACTTTTACATACCATAAACATATTATAGATCAAACTCTTCAGGTACGTCAAAATATGACAAATCTGAGGTTTACTTTTTGAAATATTTTACTTTTATTTGGCTCAATTTGATAAATATGTATATATATATATATATATATATATATATATATATATATACATACATAAATGTATGTATAAAGTGTTTTTGTGAGTTTCTTCTTCCATCAAAAACAGGGAAACACGTAGTTTAAGTGTATTTTCTTTGCAAAACTTTACATTAATAAAAAAAAGTGATGAATCCGGAGGAGAAAGTTGCACCAGAGCTGCTGAAATTTATCCAAATTAGTAACCGATGCAGACTTGAGTAAATTACTCCTTTCATTAAACAGCAGGAACACAGATTTGTATTTGCACAATAAAGGATCTGCACATTAGTCGTCTTTTTAGAGATTCAATGGAAATGTGTGTGTGTGTGTGTGTGTGTGTGTGTGTGTGTGTCTGTCTGTCTGTGTGTGTGTCTGTGTGTGTGTGTGTGTGTGTGTGTGTGTGTGTGTGTGTGTGTGTGTGTGTGTGTGTGTGTGTGTGTGTGTGTGTCTGTCTGTGTGTGTGTGTGTGTCTGTCTGTGTGTGTGTCTGTGTGTGCAATTTTGATTGATTTCGACTATTTACATTTTGTTGCTGCATAAGTTGCTGGTTTTAGAAACTCATTTTCTTTTAGATGTTTTTTGTTGCTTCTTCAGACAGAACTGGTTAGAGATAAAGAGCAGATGAAGCTCAGCTGATAACAACAGAGTCATGCACAATTTCTCATTTTATTTTTGTTCATTACAGCGTGTTCTCGCTGTTTGACGTCCTCTTTTCCATCTTGGCCTTGCGATTCCTCAAACGCGTGGAGCAGTGGATCAAATACCAACTCCATCCTGAGCTGTGTCACCAGCTATCCCACTGTTCATCTGAGCTGAATGTGATTTCAATCTGAACTCAAGCTGGAGTTGGGATTCTCATTTATCAGCACAAAACGACCGCTGGTGTAGCTAATCTTTGATTTTCCATCTCTGCCTGGTTTCACTGTTCCACAAGGAAAAGCATTACTGCTGACGACACAGAGCAGGGAGACACAGATTACATTTGGCCTTGTTGGTCCTGAAATTGGATGTTTTAATATCACCTGATTAATAAACACTGTTTTAAACAACAGTCACTCGTCTCTGATCAGAGTTTGTTGAACACCGCCACGAACAGGAGTTACATATGGCCCAGAGACCAGCTGGTGTGAAAAGAACCAGCAGGTGTTTATAAAAGACATCTCAAACAGTGTTTATTAAATAAGAACTAAAGTGATTCTAAGTAGTGTTCTAATCTGCTTTAACTGTGTGTCCTAATAATACAGAGGCATTTCAATTCAATTTTTCAATTCAAGTTTATTTATATAGCGCCAAATCACAACAAGAGTCGTCTCAAGGCACTTCACATAATAAACATTCCAATTCAGGACAGTTCATTAAGCCAATCAGAAATAATGTTTCCTATATAAGGAACCCAGCAAATTGCATCAAGTCACTGACTAGTGTCAGTGACTATACAGCAATCCTCATACTAAGCAAGCATAAAGTGACAGTGGAGAGGAAAACTCCCTTTTAACAGGAAGAAACCTCCAGAGGCTCAGTATAAGCAGCCATCCTCCACGACTCACTGGGGATATGACATGACGGCATGACGGAAAAGAACTGAGAAACACTTCTTTATAGAAACCACTTTCAAATAACACAAATTCACTGACTGAGACGTCGTTTATAAACCTATTCAGCTGTTTTAACATCACTAGCTACTGTTTATAGATCCTTGTGGAGTGGTACTTGACTGCAGTGGTGTTTCTCCACGACTGCTGTCGACACTGGGTTTATAAATTAGGTCTGTGCTATTAAAGCAACTTCAGAGTTGCCAGTCCAGTCCCTGTTGGAGTTATTAAAAGTGGAACTGACATGGTGGAGCTGGAGTCTGCTTCCAGCACACTTCCTGCATGTTTTAGATTGCGAATACAGCTGATATGTATTTTTTTGATTTAATGATGAATTGCTCCCATAGAAACTAATAAAGGTTGGGGAGACACTTCAGCAGTTAGAGTAAGGTGATAAAAGGACAAATGCACAGCATAGAGATACGATTCACTTTTGGTTTAACTAAATGGACACTAGGGGGTGCTAAAAGCAAGCCAAAACTGCCTGGTATCCCTTTAAGACCTCCGTTTGCAGGAATAATGAAACAAACCCGTATTGGTGGGATGAAACTGTCTCCCTGCTCTGTGATCCTCTACAGAAACTCACACATTAATTTTAATAACATGAATATACTGTAGGATATCATGCAGGTGTGTTTCTGGTTGAGACATTGTGCTTGGCTGATTCTTAATTGGATTAATTTCAGAGACAAAAACAATCCTCCCTAACTTTGATGCTAATAATCTTCATTAACATGATGTGAGAAGTTGTAAACTGGTGTCTGTCTTTCTTCCAGGAGCCAGTGGAGATTAGGGAGATGAAGACCTCTCTCCTTTTCCCTCTCCTCCTTTTTGCCTTGGGAGCCTGTGATGATGTCAAGTACATCTCCAAGAGAAACTCAGGTAGGAGAAACACTGATGTGCGCTAATCTATCTCTGCCCCACGCTGCATGATGTCCGTTCCTCAGTCATTTTCTCATTGGTGTTTTCTGGTTGCTCCGAGAGCTCGACGCTGTGGTTGTGTCCTCCATCAACAGGTCCTCTCTTCTCAGATAACACTCAGACTCGGTATCTCTGGGCTCAGATGGCTGTGTGTCTGCCTCTCCTGTTTCTGCTGAGGGTGTGTAATGTTCAGCCTGTCTGAGTGCAGCTGTCACTGGTGCTGCTGCTGGGCTCGTTTGTGCATCTGCAGGCTAGCCGATGACAGATCTGCTGATGATCTTTTATTTGTAATCGATTTGTTGTGTCTCGCTGATTGGCTTGAAGGAGGAGAGTGTGATTGGGATATTGACATACGGCACGCCATGTCAAGGCTTTGTGTTCTGAATGGAGAGCTAGAAACATGAGGTGCTCGTTCACCAGTCGGTGGTTGGATTGTGATCATGCTGCTGATGGTTTTGCACAGAAAATACGAGTTTTTCAGCCACAGGTTGTGTAGAAAACCCCCAAGCATTGTCAGGGACGTTTTTCCTGTTCGTCTGGACGCCATTTCAGCAGCATTTGTGCATTTTGCACACATTTATGTAACAAAAACTCCTTTTTGACAAATTTTGGAATATAATTAAGAATTCTGACAAACGACAGATCAATAGAACAGTATGAATCAAACCCACCATACTCCCGAGTCATTAGAGGACAAACATGCTGGCTTGTAAAAGTGGCTATGCAAATGTTTGGGTTGTGTTTTTTTCATAGATCAACTTCAGTCCTGCTCAAATACAGGGGCGGATTAAGGACTGAAGAACATCCGGGGCTTAACACACGCACACGCGCACACACACATACACATGACACGCACTAGTCAACATCATATATATATGTCTTGTACCACATAATTTTTAATCTGAAGCTACATATTCAGCATATTCAGGGCAGAGTATTGTTCCTGTTAGTGTTTAGTGTGAGATGATAGTGAATATTCCCTTTCTTTCTCCAACAACTTTACCTGATAGTAAGCTAACTTTAGGCAAACCAGCAGCACAACAAATATTTTCAAATAAGACTCACAAACTTGAGTCAACACCAGTCTCCTCAAAGCTGGGGTTCTGTCGCGGTCCTTTTGGTCTAAAAAACGTCTTTATGTCCATCTTCACTCATGCGTTTCAGGCAAAGAGTGTAGAAGAAGCCGGCTGCTGAAGGGCTTCTTCTTCAGTGGTGGAGGCTCAGGCAGGCTGTATACAAACTACTGCCAGCTGCTCCCTCTCTGTTGGACTTTGGTACTGCATGTTAGTCTAATGAGCTTTGAAAGAAACAGACGTACTGCATGTTACTTCCGCGATTTAGATCCGGGGCTTCCTCTGAAACATCCGGGGCTTCAGCCCAAGTAGCCGGGCCTAACGCCGCCCCTGCTCAAATATATAAATAATTCAACAATAATTCTATCATTTGGAGGATTTTAACCCTTGAAAGGTCAGTTTGATTACTCAATAATACTGTTGCTATAAATTATGTAAAGACATATTTTACAAAAACTAAATTGTGCATTCATTACAATTCAGGCTTGGTTGTGTGATGAAATATAGAAAATGTAGAATTGTTTGCATTTATTGTTTTTACATAACAACGCATTTAAAATTGACTTCCTTTTAGAATCATTTGGTCACTTCTAAATACTGCTTTAGAAATGATTCAGATTAATATTCTTTCTGCTGTTTTGGGTTTAAATCTGGTGATCAATGCCAGTTCTGATCAAATCAACCAAATATTGAATATTCATTCCCACTGGAGACTAGTCTGGCCTGCCAGACTCCTCCTCTGTTTAAGTCTGCACAGAGAAAGGGTCTGGGAACGCCCCTATTCAAATAGCCCCACCCCCTGAGAATTCAAACCGAGCCAATCAGCGCTGAGTAGCGTACGTCACACACCATAATGCCGCGATTGTCGAACATGGCGACTGAAGCGGAATTGGCTGCGGCTCTTTCCTCTGTTCTAAATGACGTGAATGTCTTTAAAACCATAACAAGGAGAAGCGCTGAAAGCCTTTCTTCTAAAGAATTACGTTTGTGCCGTTGCCAGACGCCATTTTTTACTACAGCTAAAAAAAAACTACAGTGTCGTGAGGCACAGTCAGGATTTCCGTCTTTTTTCTGATTGGTTATTTTTAAGCTGCCTAGTCCCGCCCCTCAAATGCCTCTCTGCCTGTGAGTTACCAGACTCTTTCTCTGTGCAGAATTAAACAGAGGACGAGTCTGGCAGGCCAGGCTAACTAGAGACTACAGCAAATGTGCAGATCCTACCATGTGTAGAGGGTTAAGAGTGCTCTACTCTGATCGGAAGGACGTCGAGTTTGATTCGATCATAAATCAGGAATGTTAAGCATGTTGATCGTGTTGATCTTATTTTGAGGACAAAGTAAGTAAGTAAGTAAAAAGTAAGTAAAAGTTTATTTATATAGCGCCTTTCTCAGATATAAATCACAAAGCGCTGATTGGTTGCCTTTTAAATATGGCGCCTAGTCAATCCAAAGAACAAATTAGCGGACATAACTGAGCAGGACACCAACCTGCAACCCTCAAATTAAAGGGGCTGCAATGTGGAGTTAGCCTCCTTTCAGGATTTATGTATGATTTTTTTTTGGGAAAAACCTAAAGGTGATGGTCTTACCCTGAACTGGGATGTAATGTAGGCAATACATCACTTTTCTGTTAGCTAAGCCCGTCCCTGTGTCGTAGAGCCCCGTGCAGTTTGTACTAAGCACCGTTCAGCATTAGCCAATAGCGTTAGACATCCTTACATACAAATTCCATGCTGTTGTTCTTTTTTTAAAACACAGAAACGGTTTCGTTACCTGTTTTCCCGCTACGTAAAGGGCAAACAGAAACACTAACACAACACTTAAATAACATTGACGACACAGGCAGCATAAAGTTAACTTAAGAGTCAGAAACAGACGGCAGCATAGCATTTATGGACACGAAAATCACCAGGCAAACCGACGGGACCCCAAACATAAACACATACAGGAAACCAACACACACAGACCAATACTTATTATGGACATCAGAACACCCCACCATACACAAAATGTCAGTATTCAGAACATTATATCTCCGAGCAAACATGGCAACAGAAGAAAGAGACCGTGAACAAGAGGACAAACACATACAACACGCTTTAAAGACCTGCGGATACCCGACATGGGCAATAAACAAAGGAAAACAACAAACAACAACAGAAAGAAAAGAAAAAACTACGCAAAGATCCAGAAACCCAGAAAGACAAGAACCAAAACCAGTGATAACCCTACCATACATCAGAGGCATAACAGAAAAAATAAGAGCAACAATGAAAAAACACAACATAAACACACCAACAAAACCATACACAACAGTTAGAAACAGACTAGTACACCCAAAAGACAAGATACCAGCTGGACTTAAATTTGGAGTCGTTTACGAAATCCCATGCAAACTCTGCAATAAAACATACATAGGAGAAACCGGACGCCAACTCAACACACAAACAATAGAACATAGAAAGGAGTGCGAGAAAGAAACAAGTCGAAACACACAAGAGCAGCGAAAGAACAAGCAGAAAGCACAATAAAGAAGCCAGCCGTAACAGATCACTGCATAAGAGAAAACCATGTAATGGACTGGGACAACACAAGGACCATAAACACCGAACAACAAAAGTACAAAAGATGGATAAAGGAAACTATCGAGATAAGGAGATGTGGATGTAGGACCATGAACAGAGATGATGGGGTTTACACGTTGGACCGCGGAGAGAGGAGAGCGGGCAGCAGAGGGTGACAACGTCCTCTGCTGCCCGCAGGTAAACGGAGAAGGAAGTGACGCGCCACCATCAGCGTCAGCCTGAGGAAGTCTGCAGCCTCAGACGAAACCTAGCAACAAAACAGGTAACGAAACTGTTTCTGTGTTTTAAAAAAAGAACGACAGCATGGAATTAGAACCACGACGCAGCAAGAACACACCTAAGATATCCTTACGTACAAATGTCCATCCCAGAACGTGCGTGAGCATTTGAGAACGTACCTAGATGGAGTTGGCGAACAAGTTTTAAAAATATATTTATATGAGTAAACAGCTTGAGATTAACAACTCAAAGAAAGAGAGGACATTTAAGCTATTTGCTGGCTAGACATTCACGTTCAAACACAAGAGGCATTACTTTAGGCCGTAAATATGAAAGCGAAAACAAAGGTGTGATACATTTTTCAGCCCCTAGATGGTGCAGTTTGAATAAGAATACTCCAGATTGTAGCTTTAACTCCTCTGCCACCCTTGTAAAAGTGCAGCAGCAGCATAACTGCCCCTGAACTACTCATAACCCAGGCAATCATATGAAGACATCAATGCAGATAAAGCTGTTTTTTTGTTTTTGTTTTGGGATGAAGAAACCAAAACTATTCTGCCCTCAATTATGAAATGTTATGAAGTCCTAGCAGGCAACGAGGCAGCATGCATGCAGTTTAGTTTTTTTATTTTTCTCAACCAGTTTTCATTGGACCTGCTCTCTCTGAGATGGAAACAGAAAACAAAATTAGAGTAAAAAGCATCAATAATGGTAGGAAAAACAAACAGGAATCTCTAAGGGAAAAACACGAGACCAAAGACGCAGAAACATGGGCCCATTTTCAGACAACTGTTCTGCCTCCTTGTCTTTCATCCATCATTCAAGATTTAGAAACCAAAAATATTTGATGAGATTGCGATGAGGATTAAAAATCAACACATCAAAAGTTCAACGTGCATCCCTCCAACATGTACCAGCTTTGTTTGTTTATTAAAATACTGACTTGTTTTCTGTCAGAGGTCCTTAAACGATGCACACATCTCTGTTATAAAGGTGTCTGATGCTAAGTGGCTACATTTACCAACCCTGAAGAAGTTGAGGTGTTTGTCAGGTTCTGTTCTGTTGTTTTAGCGATCAGTGGATTT